AGATGAATTCCGATTCCATCGTTGACTGAGCTATACACGTTTGTTTGGTGGATTTCCACGAAACTGCACCTCCTCCAATACAGAAAACATATCCGCTAGTGGAGCGAGAATCTCTCGAATATGATATCCAGGTTGCATCACAGTACCCTTATATCTCGAGTATTTTAGCCCGTATTCAAGGGTGTACCTCAAGTACTTAAGTACCCTTCTCAAAGCATTCCAGTGCTCATAACTGGGATTGCTCGTAAATCTGCTCAACTTATTCACCGGGTAGGCCAAGTCTGGTCGTGTACAATTCGTTAAATACATCAGACTTCCTATTATCCGTGAATATTACAATTGGGCCACTAGTTAACCTTTATTGACTACCAGATTTATACTGAGATCAAAGGATGTCTTACACCTAGACTGTGCACCGTCATAGGTATCAAATTTCTTGAGCACTTTCTATACATAATGAGATTGTGACAAGACAATTCTATCTTGGGTTATGATAATCCTTATTCAAAGAATAACATTAGCCAAACCCATATCTTTCATGTCAAAATTTCTCTTCAACATTCTTTTCGTATCCATGATCACTTCATGGTTACTCCCCATGATCAACATATCGTCTACATATTGACATACAATCACAAATGTATTTGATGTACCCTTGACATAAACACATTTGTGACATTCGTTGATTTTGAACTCATTTGGCAACTTCACGTCATCAAATTTCAAATTCTATTGTTTCGGAGCTTGTTTCAGTCCGTACAAGGATTTGATCAATCTACACACCTTTCTCTCTTGTCCAGGTGCAACAAACCCTTGTTCCATGTATATTTCTTCTTCCAATTCACCATTCAAAAATGCCGTCTTGACATCCATTTGGTGAATCTCATGATTGTGCAACAATCGAGAGAAGCACTCTTATCGACGCTAAACGCGTAACTGGTGAATAGGTATCAAAGAAATCATACACTTCCATTTGTTTAAAACCTTTGACCACCAATCGTGATTTAAACTTATCAATCGATCCATCAGCTTTATATTTCTTCTTTAGGATCCACTTGCATCCTAAAGGTTTACAACCATCAGGGAGATCAACCAACTCCCAAGTATGATTTTGCATAATGGACTCGATTTCGCTATTTACAGCTTCTTCCCAAAGTGGTCCATCTGGGCTGGACAGAGCATCCTTAAGGGAACTCGGTTCATCGTCCAACATATACGTAATAAAATCAGGTCCTAACGTTTTAGCCGTTTTTACCCTTTTACTACGTCTCGGTTCTTCGTCAGTACCTTCTGGTACAGAACCTCTAGCAGTTTCATACGTTCGTTTATTAGAACTAGATTCTGCTATTTCTTTCAGAGGAAAAATATTCTCAAAAAAAATAGCATTCATCAACTCAATCGTGGTACCAACAGATACCTCTGAATTTTCTGATTTATGAACCAAAAATCTATATGTTGTATTATTGTACGCATATCCATTAAATACACAATCTACCGTCTTTGGCCTGATTCTCATTTGTTTGGGTTCAGGTACTGAAACTTTAGCCAAACACCCCCACACTTTCAGGTACTTATAAGACGACTTACGATTTTTCCACATTTCGTAAGGAGTCTCATCTTTCCCTTTAGGTGGTATTTTATTCAGGATATGATTTGATGTTAAAACAGCTTCCCCCCACATGTTTTGGGGTAGTCCTGAATTTATCAACATGGCATTCATCATTTCTTTTAATACGGTTCTTGCGTTCAGCAACACCGTTCGCAACACGTCGTTTGATGAAATATGCCATATTCAGAACATATTTGTTCAAAAGGAGCTACATACTCCCCACCCCTATCACTCCGGATTATTTTTATCCTTTTGCCGAGTTGATTTTCAACTTCGGTCTTATAGATCTTAAATGCTTCCACAGCCTCATCTTTGCTTCTTAACAAATATAAGTAGCAAAACCTTGTGCAATCATCGATAAAAGTAATAAAATACTTTTTACCCGTTCTCCTTTGCACACTTTTCATATCACATACATCAATATGGATCTTGCAATTTGTTTCTTTTGCACTTTTGTGCTATTCTATATTACCTCTATTGTTCCGAACAAAAAAAAAATCATACTAACTTAATAAATAATTTAAAATATTAATACAAGTTTATGAAATGTAGTCAATTTAGCTATAAAAAAGGTACATCCCCATTGAATACATTATATGCAGTGATAATACTATTAAAAATTTAAATAATATACTAATAAAAATAAATTTTGATGGTCGGGTGCAATTCAGAATTATAAATTTCACCTTAGAAATATCTATGTTAATTAAAAAACTATTCGATTTTTAAAAATATATACATTTTCTTATATACTACTTTATCAATGAAAATGTGTTAATAAAATATCAATGTATAATAATTTAAATTATAGCACTTGGTAATTATGGAAATATATGATATATCTAAATATTTGAATAGATACAATGTAACTCATTATATAGGTTGAAAAAAATTATTAAATAAATAAAATAAAAAATTAAATCATAAGAATAAAATATTTAGCCATACAAAATTTATGTCTTGTATAAAGATTAAAGTTACTAAAAATTAAAATTTACTTATCAAAGTTTTCAACATTTAAGGCACTTAATAATTATAGCAGAAAATAAATATTATTGGTTAAACGTTGGTAAATAATCAAGCAATGTGCAAATTATGAATTGTTGAAAAAATCTATCTATATATATATATATATATATATATATATAATGAATCAATCCTTATTGCAACACTTGGCATGATTTTGAGCGAAAAATTTTTTCGTCTATATTTGGAATTGAATTAATATTTACTTATTAGCAAATCTTATGCATGAAAAACATAATTAATTATTATACACTTAATGACTATTACTCATTAAATATAATTTGGCTTAAACATAAATTTTGACCGTATATTTATTAGATATATTTTCAATAAGAACTTATATTAATTTTATAGCAATTTATTGACACCGTTCAAAAAATTATTATAGAAATTGATTTGATTAAATACATTATCATTTATGCTTGTAAGAATTAATTTAATTAATTATATTAACTATTCAGAGGTACTTAAAACATTTAATAAAATAATCAAAATAACTATGTTTAAATCATACTAACTTTGTAGGTTTATGAAAGTTTGATTATTGAAGTTGCTCTAATAGTTACCAATTTTAACACCACATTTCTCTCTCTGCGATAAGAAAACCCCCGCCGCTCTAATATTTTATTCACCATCGATTCGCCTTCCTCAGCGACGGCGGGGCCCTAGCCAGCGGTCGCCCTTGACCGCTCGGCACGTCCATAATGTCCTCACCTCGATGTTGTTGCAGTTATTCTGCGTGGTCCGCCCTTCAATCGCTGGCGGATCTGAATTTCGAGGTGTCGTCCCCTTGGTCGGAGTTCGGTCTGCGATGGGCGGTTCCCTCCCGGACGCCGGTGATCTTCGATTGGCGGTGGTAATCCCCTCTCTCTCTTTCTGCGTTTGTCTGCGATTGGAGTTCCCTTCGATCATTTCTACTTTCTCCAGTGGGGCTTCCGGTGGGATTTGTTTGTTGGTTGTCGGATTTTTGCGGTGGTGTTTGGGGGTGTGTGGGTCTGCGGATGGGGCGGGGTTTCGGTAGCTGCGACGTCTTTGCGTCGGGGAAGTCGGGGCTGTAGGACCGAGTCGCTCTAACCCTCCGATTCTCTGTTGGTGTTGGTGGGGTGCCCGGCATGTCTGAGCTTGGCTAGTGGTGTTAGACGAGTTCCGGTCGCGCGGGTGCGGGGAGATGGTTCCTTTGTTCTCCCGGTTGGAGGCGGTCGACTTCGAGTTGATTCAAGGTCTTTGTTCGACTTATGTATAGGCGGTTCTGCAGTTTCAGAAGTGGTTCCTCGGTCTTGGGGTCTTTCTGGGAGATTGATCGCTTCTCTGCTGTTCAGCCTGCTTGTCTGCTGGAGAAGGGCATGCCCATTGTTATTTAGCTATTTATTATGTTTTGTGTCGTTTAAGTCTGTGTTGTTTTTCGTTAGGTAATTGTGTGAGCCCGACTGTGTTCGAGTATTATACCTTGGGAATCGTTCATATTCTCCCGTGGGGAGCTTTGCGTTGTTTTGTTTGTGTTGCAGTGGCGGTTGTGTATAAGTCTTGTTTTTGGTTTCTAGCTTCGCTAGCTGCGGTTCTAGGCGATCTCTTACATGTCCTCCCACTTTTTCAGTCGTTGGTTGTATTATTATTCAACTATTGGTTGTATTTTTCACATTTATGCATTTTGATTTATAATATTTCTATCGTTTCGAAAAAAAAAATCATTCTAACTTAATAAATAATTTAAGGTATTAATAAAATTTTCTAAAATGTAGTCAATTTAACTATAAAAAAGTACATCTCCATTGAATATATTATATGCAGTGATAATTCTATTAAAAATCTAAATAATATACTAATAAAAATAAAATTTACTTGTTGCAATTCAGAATTATAAATTTTATCTTAGAAATATCTATGTACATTTAAATAACACAAATTTTTCAAAATTAATTATAGTTAAAAAAAACTAAATTAAAACTAATTGAATTCAGTAGCTATAATCTCATCTCCATCTCATAAACATAATCCGAAGACAAGAGGCTAAACATAATGGCGTCCTTGGGCTGACCCTTGAGAAGATAATACTTCCTGAGCACACCTTCCCTCACAAACCCCGCCTTCTCCATCACCCTCTGCGACGCCGTATTGTCCAGATCCACCACGGCCTCCACCCGCTCCAGGTGGCCCCACTCCGCGAACACGGCGCCGGCCGCCATCCTCACCGCCGCCGTTGCGATCCCCCTTCCCCAGTGCTCCGACCCGACCACGTATCCGATTTCGGCCCGGCACCGGTTGTTCCCGCCGAACGGGGTAACCGACAAGGAACCCACGGCCCGACCCGACACGCATATGGCCCTGTGCCATGGGTGCGGGATAACCGTGGTCGCGACGTGATCGGCAGCGGCCTCCCTGGAGGCGAAGGGGCTTAACGAGCAGAATCTGCTTACTCTATCGTCCGAGTACCTGCCACAGATTTTGGGGAAAAGGTCATAAAATTTGAAAAGGTTAATTATGGAGAAATTGTGATAACTGTAATTGTTAGTCTAATTTGAGTACCACTGCATGAGGTCGTCGGCGTCGGAAATGTGGAATGGGCGGAGGGTAAGGTCGGAATAGGAAACTTTCTCCATTCGCAAGAGTTGGCAATGGATAACGTGTGTGTTCTTCTTCTTTTTTTTTTTCCTTTTTTTTTTTA